GCGTGAACGATCATCGGCGCCCCACCATCGACCGGCTGACAGAATAACATTGTTTACCTTTAGCACCAATAATTTCATACTTCTCATCTCGAACATATTGACCCAACTTTGGGTTCCGGTCTTTGGTAATAAGAACAATATCTCCAGCCTCCAATGGCTGAGTACCAGTGCTCTTCTTGCTGCTCTCCACTGCAGCGTGTTGTCTCCTATCCAACCAGAACTCTCGGAAAATTCCAAGCATATGATCACGTCTCTTGATACGGCGACGGCAATCAGCTATCACCTGAGCGTTGTGCAGCGGGTCCGAGGGAAGGAATTTCGGACGTAATCGTTCCCATTCTTCGGCTGCATTATCATCAGCGGTCAAGAAGCGAGCGATCGGTAGCTTAGACGAGTATCCATAGACCAACTCGAAAGGAGACGGAGCACCATCCTTTGGGGTAGATTCTACCCCAACAATTCTGAATTGTTAATACGATTAGCAGCAATACATAACATAAGTTCCCAATCCGGCATCTTGGCATTTTGTAGCATAGAGCGTAGGCAGCGTCCTAGTACTTTGTGTTTCACCTCATAGAATCCTCCAAGGTGAGGACTCCTGCTTGGCAGGACTTCATGTCGCATAGCATTCATCAATAATAGTGACGAGAATCCCGGATGGCGACAGAACTGACTTCCCTGATCTGTTATGATCAGATCCGTCACATTTCCCCATTGCCACACGATAACCTTCTCGACTTCCGTCACAACAGTACTGCCTCGACAATCAGGTATTAATCGAAAGCAGGTGAAGCCAGTATAGCAGCATACAAAGGTGACCACGTACCAAGGTGGCTCCGTCTTTGCCGTAGCTGCCATCCCGACTCTTGGAGATCGCATAGGACCATATAGATCAATCCCCACGGTCCGAAATGGACCGAAAGGAACACCAATGCCTCCCGTTTCTTCTGCAATATCCGATGGTCTTACCACCGAGCGTTGGCATGGTTCGCAAGCATTGACGGTTTGCTTGATGATCTTCTTCATTCCCGGACACCATGCCACTTCAGCGATCTCGTGTGATACTTCATAGAATGCTGCATGCGCTGCTTGATGGCGTGCAGCCTCAGCAATCTCTGACATAAGGTGCCTCGGCACCACAACTTGGGTCAAGACTTTTCGCCCTTCTCCACTCTTGAGGAGAATCCGACGGCATAACAAATTTTCCTTGTTGAGAAATAATCGGTAGACGAATCCAGTCGCTTTTTCTCCTAGCGACGGGTCAGAATTGAGTGCCTCTCTGGCACGATTCGTTTCAGAATCACGAACTTGTTCGTAACGTAGCCACTGCAATCGTGAACCATTGCAGTTGTCCGGCGACTTGTCATCAGCTGCAGCACTTTGCCCTGCTGTGGACCTCCATGCGCCAAATATTTGTTGTAACCCCACGAATCTCCTATAACTGGGTACAATAAAGCATGACCACCCAAGAAGGTCATTCCCGATACCATAATCGCTAGCACCTAGATTCTGCGATGACTCTACCGTGACTCCATTATCCGAGTCACTAGACGTCTCGCCTATAGGCTCTACCGCGATGGGGGCGATCATTTCCCCCTTTGGTTTTTCCACGGGAATACATATGGTCATTTCCGGAGCTCGTGATAACATATCCGCATGAATATTTTTCGCTGCTATAACGTGACATATTTCTAGTCGTATAGACCGGCGTCGCCAATCGAAATTCAAATCAATAATCATATTCCGGAGTCGCAGAATAGCTTGCTTCTCCAATGCCTTGCTCCCACATGTCAAGGCCCACGGGTCACTTTGTTTTTGTGTGACACGTGAATCAGTGCCCACTCTGATTGATTTCAGGTGTGGCATCAATACTAATAGAGTATCCAATCGTCGAAGACACATTGCCAATCCATATAGTTCTTTACGATTGCAATGCCATACATCTTGCTTCTTATTGAAGCCCTTCGCCTCAGAATACACTATCGCTGATGGATTGTAGATATTATCAGTCCCCTCTACCAGACCACGATCCACCACCACGAATCCATAACCCACTTTGGACGCATCAGTGCGTACGTCAATATCGGTGATGCTTCCATATATTCTCAGATTCTCATCTTCTGCGGAGCTCGCCTTCCAATAGAACTTCGCACAGTCGAAGTGCTTTGACAAGAGATTGCATACATGGGAATCCTGGCAAGGACTATCCCAGTCTGTCCATCCACCACTCAAACGTCGGAGAGTGTCAGCATGAGCTCTCGCCAAGGTCTCACAGAATCCACCTGTCAGTGCTAGGAATACTCCAGCTGCACTGAAGATCTGCCTTTTGGTATATGGATGATGCAACTCCCTTTCTACAACTGAAGATCTATGGCCACGAGCCTGGGCCTAAGACTGAGATCGATTTCTGGATGCGTAGAATGCAGAAAATTACCGCGGTCACCGAGCAGTTGAAGTCCAAAAGTTGTCGAGCCGTTTTCGGTACGCTGCACGCCGTTACGCGTGTGGGTCAGGATGTTGCTCCAAAGTCTCGGCAAGTGGTGTTCAACACTCTTCGGCGGTGGAATCGGGTGGAATTCTTGATTACGGAAGCTTTCAACGAGGCTCAAGATAATGTAAAGTACCTGAACACTCTGGAGAAGTTTATGGAACCACTTTACACTGGTACTCCTGACATGATCTCGGATTCTCTACCAGCATTGCTTAACGCTATCAAGATGGTACATACCATTGCCCGATACTACAACACGACTGAGAGATTGACCAATCTGTTCACCAAGATGACCAACCAGATGATCATCAACTGCAAGGCCTATTTATTGGGCGATGAGCATCCGGACAAGCTGTGGGAGACGAAGCCTGTAGTATTGGTAAAGAAGCTGCGGGCTTGTCTTAATCTCAACGAGGTATACCAAGAACAGTATCATTTCAATAGGAAGAAGCTCCTAGCGCTACCGAAAGGAAAGCAGTTTGACTTCTCAGAGACTCAGATTTTCGGGAGGTTTGACCTGTTCTGCCGCCGCGTGCTCAAGCTAGTGGATATGTTCTCGACCGTCCATCAATTCGAGTCACTGGCCGCGTGTCGGTTTGACGGTATGGAACAACTCGTGGTCAGCTCCCGCACCATCATGGAGGAGTTCCGGAACAAACGACATGACCTTCTAGATTTCCACAACAACCGGTTCGATCGCGATTATGTCGAATTCAACGTCCGGATTGCCGACCTAGAGAGCGCACTACAGCAGTTCATCAATCAGAGCTTCGAGAGCATCACTTCTATCGAGTCCAGTCTAAACTTGCTGAAGAGCTACCAATCGATTTTGCAGCGTGAGAGCCTCAAGGCCGATCTCGAGAGCAAGTACACTGTCATCTTTCACAATTACGGTGTAGAACTGACACAGATTCAAGATTCTTATGAGAAACTGAAAGCGTCACCGCCGTTAGTGAGAAATTTGCCTCCGGTCGCGGGTAACATTACATGGAGTCGTCATCTGCTCCGGCGAATCGAAGGGCCGATGAAACGCTTTCAGAAGAATCCGACTATTCTCCAAAGCAAGGATGCTCGCAAAATCATCAGAATGTACAACAAGATGGCGAAGACTTTGGTCGAGTTCGAGACGTTGTGGTATGAGGCATGGCTCAACTCAATCGAGGTTGCCAAGAGCGGGCTCCATGCTACACTGATTGTCCGACATCCTGATGACGGCAAATTCTATGTCAACTTCGACTGGGAGATTCTTCAGTTGATACGGGAGACCAAGTGCCTTGAACGCATCGGAGTAGAGGTTCCTGGGCCAGCACGACTTGTGCTATTACAAGAACAGAAGTTCAAGCAACACTACAATGAACTGTCGTACATTCTGAAAGAGTATCGTCGAGTGGTACAGGCTATAAAGCCGGTCGTGACGAACCTCCTCAAACCGCATTTGGACAATATGGAGTACCAGCTTAGGCCTGGAATGATTGCTCTCACTTGGACGTCTCTGAATATAGAGTCATATGTGGAGAATTTATGGTCGGAACTCAACGCTTTGGAGGAGCTTGTCAGAACGGTGAGTTTGTTAGACTGGGCGTTCTACCATTGTAAATGGTGATTCACTCAGGTGAACGATTTGATGGATAATCGTATTGATGCTAATCTCAAGGATGTGTCTTGCATGATACTATTAGAGTTGCCAGAAGAAGGAGAGGTTGTGAGTCTTGATGACTTCGTTGAACTCCAGGAACGGCATGTCCGGGACATGACCAGCGTGCT